CCCCTCCTCTCTACCTCCCTCTCCCTCCTCTCTCCCTCCTCTCTCTCTCTCTGTAGTTTTCTTCTTTTTTTGATATCAATTACATAATGATATAATAAATTTATATTATTACAACATTATAATCACTTAAATTTATTACATCTTCTTATTGTTAATCAAATTTATGCTAATTAATTTTTTTCATCATCATTTTTTAAACGGTTACCGTATCCTCGTTATGCTTTGAATCAATTCCAGTAATAGTATAATTGCTGCATTCATTTTCGTCAACAGTATCATATAAATAGAGTTGTTTATTGGTTTTCCTAAAATTTTAAAAATAGTAATGTAATAGAAATTAATAGAAAGAAAGCGAAAAATTAAATGAAAATTTTTCACAAAATCTAATTTTTCTTTTTATTTTTTGAAAATTTTTAATTTCTTTTGGCGTTTGAAAAAAAGGAATGTTAATGAATTTTAAATCTAAAAATTTTTAATTAATTTGCATATCACTGAGAATTTTATATTTTAATATTGTGAATATTATTTTAGACAAATAAATGTTTGCAAATATGCAAATGATAAAGAATTGCAATATTATCGTCAAATTTTTTTTTCTCTTTGAAATTTTCATTATATTTTTAAATCTTTTTAAAATAGAAATTTGAAAATTACGATTTGATAAATTTCAAAACAGAAAGAAAAATTTAATGACACTCGAAAATTTGTTGATAAATGCCGTAGGAAAATGGAACAAATGTGAAAATGAAAATAAATTAAAATGTAAAAAAAAAGGGAATGGGGAAAGAATGAGAATAAATATTAGATAAAATGAATGCAAAATGCGTTTTTTATAACTTTCTGGCAAAAATTTATGAAACAAATAAATGCAATGAAAGAAATTCATTTCATTTTGCTAATTTTAAATTTAAATTACCAATTTGTTGTCTTTTTGCATTTTTTTTTTTGAATTTCACTTTTTCGTTTTCTTATTACCAAAACATTACGATGTAATAGGAAGAGTGTAGCGCAATGCAGTAATTGCACGATAATTTGAATAAAAATTTTTAGTTTTCATATTGAAAATGTAATTTGATGAATAATTTTGGAAGAAAAGAGAAAATAAATTGCAAAAAAAGATTTTAAAAAAGAGAAAAAAAAGTCTCGCTTTTGTCTCCTTCTTTTCTTTTTTTTTAAATTTGTTATTTGAATTTAAGAAAAAAATTTTTGATTCATTTTAAAATATTTTTCATTGAGTATGTTGCAAATGATTCAATCAAAGATCGATGAGTTTTTGTTTTTAGAAAAGCATATAATTTCTACTGCATTCAAAAATAAAATTAAAATTAAGGATTATTTTAAAACTGAAAGTTATTTTTCGAGATCAATAAACTTGAATAATCAAATACATTTTTTATAATCATTGATAGAATTTTATAAGACAAATAAATGCAATACAAGAAACTCATTTACATTGCATTTGACTTTAATTAATTATTTTGGAGGAAGAATTGGTCATATTAGCGCTAAATAGTAATCAAATACAATAAAATCGATAGATAAATCAATATTTTAATTCCCTGATCTCTCCTTACTTAACTTTTCTTTGATGAAATATCAATTTATGAGTTAATTTAGGAGTAAAAATTTTCGCAATAATGGTATATTCAAGTAGTAAATTATGAAATATATGATTGAAATTGAATCTTTTTCACCTAAATAATAATAATAATAATAATAATAATAATAATAATAATAATAATAAT